GTAACACGTGTCCCAGCCATCTCAACTGATGAAGTTTCACTACGTCATCAATTGATTTGCCGTCCTTACCTAGTACCCGTTTCCTAACAACTGCGTTACTTACTCGATGGTCCCAGGATATACGAGCAATATTTCGAAGACATCTATGATCAAATACTAGTAACCTACGAATATCATCTACTCTTACAGGCCATGTTTCACTGCCATAAAGTAGGACGGAATGAACTGCTGTGCAGTAAACATGTCCCTCGGTTGATAGACGGATATCTCGCCTACGCCATAAATGATGCAAGTTGGCGAAAGATAGTCGAGCCTTCTGTATCCGTGCTGAGATTTCGTCACACACCAGACCACAAGGGCTGATGAGACTTCCAAGATAAGTGAAGCGATCGACACGCTCAATTACTTCACTCCTTATCATTAGTTCGGGGGTCAATGCAACCCAATCCTGAAGCAACATTTTACATTTTAAGGGGGAGAATCGCATGCCGAACATGCTTGCATTGTTGCTTAGAGTGGTCAAACGACTCTGCATTTTTCAGCGTCTTCACCAAATAAAACTATGTCATCTGCATATTCTAAGTCAACAAGTGAACCTCCCGGTAGAAGTTCAACCCCTGGAAATCTAAACGAGGAAAGTGTTATCTCTAAAAGTACGTTGAACAAGAATGGAGAGAGTGGACAGCCTTGACGAACACCACTTGAGGTAATCAATTCTGATGACAGTTCGCCACAATCTCTCACTCTACCAGTTGTGTTCGAGTAGAGAGCCTTTATAAGGTTAATGTACTTCTTTGGTACTCCTTTCAGTGACAAACACTGCCATAGAACCTCACGATCAACAAAGTAGAATGCCGCCTTAAGGTCAAGAAATACTACGATTGTAGGGCGTCTGAACGTGTGTCTGTGTTCTAGAACCTGACGTAGTGTGAATATCTGATCTATACAACCACGTCCAGGTCGAAAACCGGCCTGGTTTTCTCTAATCTGCTCTTCACGAGCTTTGGTTAGGCGTCGAAGTATTATTGAGGCTAATATTTTAGACACTATATTAGTCAAACTGATTCCTGTGTGATTGTCACAAGAGGACTTTTGTCCTTTCTTATAGACTGGCACAATCAGTGGTTGAGACCAGTCAGATGGGATTACGTCCAGTTCCCAAATTCTACCTAAGACCTCGGTTAATCTCATTGCTAATACTGGACCACCATCCTTAAAAATCTCAGGAGTAAACACGTTACTGTACATATAGGTCTGGCCTATAGTTGATTATAGATTATACCTTTTACTGTAAAGGAATCCAATGGTATGACTTTTGATATATTGAATTCAATCTCGTAAATAATATCAAACGATGGACTTAAAACGTCCTTTGTAATATGTTTAGAAATGTTTCTGAATCAACACTTACTAGACCTAAATCCAAAAAGGCAGTTGAACAAGTATACAGACACTGAAGAGACTATTTGGAGCAGTTTGTCGTTCACAAAGAGCTGAACCATGAAGTAACTGGTGTATGAAATTAAGAGTTGGGTCTAACGATCTGACCAGACAGATCCTTAGTATATTTCCCACTACTAGATTTTAGAGTATGAACATATTATTAACATTTAGATCGCTCATGATAGAAATTAAGTCTCCCATATAACATAAAATTTAGTTTTAGGGACCTATTTTGTTTTTCTTGATATTATTTACGCAGAATTAAAGATGAAAGTTCACTTTCTAAGTACAAAAGTAAAAATTCGTAATTTGTCTACTCTAGGTTTACCTTATATGGATAGATCTTTACTGAAATCTATCACTTTTCTATGTAACTAGGACTTAAGAAAAACAAATAAATAAACCCTTCTTTATTTTCAAAAGTGAACTATATAGATGAGTGATATAGATTGGATAGCTCAGATATGACTTTAAATTGCCTCTTTCGTTACATATTTTTGCATCATCTCTCACAGCATCTCACTTTTAAGACTGAAATAAATAATAATAGTTCTCCTAAGAATGAACCCTTTTGAGGATGAAGTAGGTATATAAAAATCCAAGCTGTATGTATAAATACCACCACAAAAGACAGACCCTAAACTAACAAAATATGTCTGCTAAAACCATAAATTTACCAGACCATTAAGTTCTGAACAAAACCAATCTGTTCACATAAATTTTGGAAGGATTATTTACAAAGCTATTTGCTAGAACAAGTTATTGTAATTCCTTTCTTCGTATATAGTTGTCCTTTTTATTAGAGTATTATCATGGTGGATTTTAGTGAAACAACCAATATTACTTTAATAACTACTTTGAGCATGAGTATAAATTAGGTTTCATCTACTTGTTATTTGACTTAACATTTCAGCATAAATATGACAGGTATGTGAGAGACACATCTGAAGCGGAAATCCTGTTTATCAAACTATTTCCAACATAAGCTTAGAATATCAACAGAACAATGAAATACTCAGGAACAATATCTACTTTGGTAAGTTTGTGATACTTTCATTATCATTTATCAAATTAGTGATTTCAACGAAAGTAACCTGTGAGGTTTATGAAATTATTCAATCATCTTTAAACTACTTACAAGTAGTATAAATACATTTTTAAACATCGAAAACCGCTCATTTGTTGAGCTATATTTTCCTGTAATCATGTAAAACTGATTAGCGAGAGGTTAGATCCCAAATAAAGCCATATTTGTCTGGAATTTTTGACACAAGTAATTTAATGCTGACTTGACCTTAGACCGGAGTTTGAAAAGACTACTGAATAACGTTCCAGTTGATCGTTTGCTTTTCTTTCAGAAACTCATTCACTAGGTGGTAGCTGAGATGAACCACGCTTTGAGTGTGAGGGCTAGTGATACTACTCGGTTACCTTAACCAATATAGATGGAGCAGGATTTAAGCCTGGGATTTAGTAGCTAAAAGTTAAATGCTTTAAACACTGAAGAAATTTGTAATTTCACTTCCTGGAAATTACCAGAATTATAAATTCACAACTCAGTGATAAGACTGGTACATTAATATGCGAAAATTTCCAGTTACACATAATAAATATATAACTGACACTGAGAAATGGGATTCGCCACTATTTTACTAGTTAAAAACAGACGATCTCAGTTAAGTGTACAATACAATTATAAGTATTAAGTGATAAGATAATACCAGTACGAATATGCAGTATATATATATATATATATATATATATATATATATATATATATATATATATATTCAAGCTTCAAAAAACAACTTTACGGACTACCAATCGAAATAAATTTCTAAATAACACATTCATTGCCTACAAGTAAATATAATTAACAGACTATTAATATAAAGTAATGAATACTTAGGCACGTGGAATGATTTTAGATGAGAACAACACCTATTGGTACATTTACATAAAAAATGTATTAAGAACTCATCAAGCTACATAGTGAGGGTCGTGGTTAATGACTGACAATCGGTATACATTAGATTTTGACAGAGGTATACCTGTATCAGTATTCTAGAAGTCAAGACAAATAAAAAATTTCTTAAATTTCTGATTGAAATTAACCCTGTAGACAAAACGATTCGTAGTCATAAGGAAACAATTAACCAATAACATTTCGAGAAAAAGTTAAACAGAGGTAAAGCTGATACTTTCATGTTATTGGGTTGAAATGCCAATATAGAGAAATTAAAGAATCCTACCATATTATTTACTTTTAAGTTTGTTCAGAAATTTCATTTACCGACGGTAAGAATTATGAATGAAATCAAGGTTATAGTGAAGCAACTTATGCATGCGTACCTACGTTCGTTGACTGTTCTATAATAACTAATTATAATGGAATTTCATAAAGATTGATGACACTAGGCACTTCATAATTGGGGACTTCGTAAATCCTTATTTAATATACGTAGTTGTGTTTCAGACATTCTGATCATTCAAACAACAAATACAAGCATAAATTAGCCCTTATCACTGATACAAAATTTATTTTATGAACTGTTGATGTATTTATTACTTTTTGTTTTGTTGGATTAACTGCTTAGTAGGTTCACTCAGTTCTTCACAAAATTTATGATCTAAGAACTAATTAATTTCTGGTGAAATATTACTGATATTAAAGTTAGACTTTATTTATGGCGCAAGGGTAAGAAACAGAAACCAAATCTCTTATGAGATTTTATCAAAATAAATAAGAAAAAACCCTAATGAATTCTATAACCTTCTTACAGTGGCGATATATCCACAAGTAACTACTTTACGAGAAAACTTATACAACGGTAGTGATGCTACATGGGCTTCAGCTTGTTCACTGTTCGTTTTTTTATTAAATAACAAATCGAAACGATATACATACACCATCTATCAAATTATGGAATCTTTTATTTAGATATTGAGAAAATTCGAATTCTGTGATTTTTATAAAACAAGGTTGCCGCAGTGCTACGTTTCTCACTGTTTTGTAAAAGAACGGTGAAGGAAACTGCAGAAAACAAAAAGGCAGCAATATGTGGGAATCATAAAACTATTTTACTTTTAGTGACATCAAAGTTATAAGCCTAGGGTTATCAGGTATAATGTTCCAAAATTCAGTAATTGTGCTTTAGTGTCTGGTAGCAAAAAATGTAAGAACCTATCCGTGCAGCTACATAAAATTAAAAATGTAGCACGATAATATGGTAATAATGGATGTTTTTCACGTTACCTGTATGAAACCGTATTTTTTAAGAGTTCTTTTATGACAGCTGTTTACTATTTGATAGACTTGAAAGAGGGTTCGATTAATGACATCACATTACAAGCTCAAGAATAATCTTGTTTCGAACAAGAACAGTGCTACAATTAAAGACCCTGTCAGTATTTGATATGTATAGACATTGATCAGAGCTTTCTATTTTTAACTATCTCACGTTAAATGACTTAATATATTAGTCATTTTGTATTTCATCCATAAACTTTGGTAGGAAACTATCATTTCAGCAACCGTTTCATGTAAAATAGTCACTAACATGAAATTATATCTTTTGCTATTCGTATGCACTTTTAATCAACAAAAAAAATTGCACTACCTTCTCTACGGACAGGCTAAACACATGTTCAGTGTGTATTGTTTGTTTTTTCTTAACAAAAATAGATATTGTGCAATAATTACTAAACAAGAAACTTGGAACAGTTTAGAATATTAAGATAAGAATAAAAATTGAAAGTGGATGTGATACAGCTTCAAATTCAAAACACGCAAAAAATATCAAATAAATTTCAATCATAAAATAGAAGTTTTATTTTTATCCAGCATGACAACATGAAAAAATATTCTTCCATACCAAACTAATTTCATGATTTGTATGCGTTGTAATTTGTCAATAACAAAGAAAATGTACAAGATTTCCATAAAAGAATGGACAAAATCTGCTTAATAATGCTATAATGACACCGAATCAGCGAAAAAGAGGAAAACTAAGCGGACTATATAGTGTGGATAGAACTTAGATGTAAATATCACAGATTAATTAAGCAGTATAATAACTATTAAAGTGTTGAATACATAGCTGAAGTAATTCAATTGATTTTGGACACAACTAGTTAATCTGTACAAATTGGCACCTTGCCTAATGCTCTAGATATATCAAAGTGGCAAATATCATTCAGTCCTCCACCGACACGTTCACCAAAGAAGTCAAAAACATATAAATTTGGCATTTTAAGTGAAAGATCTTCAAGTATATTATCAACAACGTGATTACATTGAGTCAAATTTAATATCACTAAATGAGGTACCTTTAACGGGATATCAGCAAATGCTTTTCCTTGAATAACAGAATTCCCAATAAGGCTTAGCTGACGTAAAGAACTGCATATTTCAATTATTTGGTTCACACCAATATCAGTAACTTCCCAACACCAGTTTAAGGTAAGAAAGCGTAGGCGACTACCACAACAACTACAAATGTCCATCACTACTGAATCATTCAAACCAGGAGCTTCACTTAAATCTAAGTGTTCAAGATACCTCAAATTTAATTGATGGTCCAAATGACTTAGACTTTTGGAGACAAATAATGAGCTTAAACCGGTAGGACTGACTTGGTGAGTTTTCCGCAATGTAAGGGCAACAAGATTTGAAAGGTTAGCTATGGATTTAATTGCTTCATCTTCAACATGATCACAAAAGCTAATCCACAGTTGCTGAATTCCAATTATATTGTGTTCAATTTCTGGATTTACAAGATCTTCAACGTCTAATATCCGTTTCGTAGCACATTCCAATCGAATAATGAATTCATTTAATCCGGAATTTGAAAGTTCAAAACCATCCAACCATATAGCATCAAGGTTACCATTACGCACAGCTTCGCTGTCGGCCAGATGTAAAACACCGGTGTCTGTAATCCAAAGAACACCATCCAAGTTAAGACGGCGCAGATTGTGTAGTCCACTTGAAATTACTTTTACACATGTATCACACACTGAAACACAATGTGACAGATTGAGCGCTTCTAACTTTGGACACCTAAGTACTAAAGTAGTAATGAAATCAATCTAGAAAATATATCAAAAAGTAGAAGGAAGTTAAAACATTTAAAAGTAATAAAACTTTTATCAGTAATGAATGATAGGACAAATATGTAAAGTATACAACACCTATTCCTAAATTATTTTCCACAAATAAAATATAAGATATATAAAATACAATTTAATAAGTACTATATTCATCGTAACTAGTTACTTATTACAATGGAGGACGAAAATCCAAGCTATTACAAAAACACCAGGTAAACAAACACATAAAACTTGATGATATTATCGCTTTTTGAGCGACATAGTTTGGTCGCAGAGCTTTGTTGTCGTTTCGGACAACATCTTCAGCCTGCTCTTTCGTGAAGAATTTAGATGGGATTCAACCTACAAATCCATACGGAAGGGGTTAGTCAATTATTTATTAATTTGAAAACAAATATTGGTACAAAGGGGCACCGAATACATATGCGCCACACAAGTCAATTGATTTGTGTGTGGGCTGTGATACTCCCCGGGTACCCAGACCGAAACAGGTGGTTTCCCTAGGGGGTCACGCCCGGAGCCTTCGACTAAAAGGTCTGATCCACAACGCCAGGAGATGCAGTCCCATAGTAGTCGGTGAGAAACAATAGGTTCATACGTCATTTGTTTCCTTAGGATCCTGGAGCCCGTGTGCACCACTGGTTTAGAATCGGGGTCTTCCATTCCCTTAGGTGGATCCTCTGTATCCACCAATCCGGTTAAAGCGATGGACATTCGCTTTTCGTCCCTTCAACTTCTTAAACAACACCCTTGCCACGAGAAGGCAGTGAGTAGGACTTCCCTGACAGTGACTGTATACGCGTGGCCATGTGAAAGCATTTCGAGAGGGAGAGATAACTCTCCCCATCCTCGGCTGTACCAGGGCATTTGGGGGCTAATCAATTACAGGGTCGGAGGTTAGCTGACAAACACAGCCAACGTGAATACAAGTACACATTAAGACAGCTAATCACAAGCATACCCACCAGAACTAACTGGCATAACACTTGTGGAGAAACTGAAAAGACCACTTCTACATGAAGGAGGGATTAAAGATGTTATTTAGAATAACAATGAAAGCTCTGGAATTAGGCCATCTAGATCAGAGAACACAACACCACCCAAAGTATCCACCTAAACTGCGAATTTCTGTCGCTTTACACATAGGACCGTGAACAAATATTACCATGGTACAGAAAACTTGTTCCAGTTAGTCTCAGCTTTTTGTCAATTTCATAAAGAAAATTTGATTGGTTCGTAAACTTCCGCTTTCAACTACCCTGAGTAATATAGGACCGGTTTGAGAAGCTAAGTAATATCACTAGCGTTAATATAAAATGTGGTTCAAATTCTAGTACAAAAACGTGCACTTGATACGTCATGTTTGTTACTTATAAGTGTATCAATCCATGACAGAAAGAAACAGCCAACAAAATTATTAAAAAGTCAGATGAACTAAAGGAAGAAAAATAATGAAAGAAATTGTGTGTGGAATAATGTGCTCATGACCTACAAATAAAACTAAGTACTAGATTCATGCTAATTTCTGAAAGATTAGTAATTCCTTTTACAACATGTCTATGGCTACATTCAGATAACAAATTAGTACACTCTATTCAATAAGGTAATGATTGCATAAAGTGAAGATCTATCTTTGCACAAATGATTCTTTTGATCCGACAATAGTGAGAGTTTAAGATGTGAAACCGAAGGCAGAGAAGCAAAACTATCCAAAATTCTAGATATAGTGAATGAGATGTTTGTAAGATACTTAAAGGTACCGATGTTTGGAAGCTTGGAAGTCGATCAGAGATAACAATGAAATCAGCAGAAATACATCATAAGATTGACTTCAAAATAACCAAAGTTATTCAAAAAAGTTTTTTTACTATAAAGGAAAGGCTAACACCCAAATTTTCAAATATACATAAATAAATTCAAATTGCCTGAACAGTGAAGTTTTACGTACTCAGCGGGGCAGTGATTAAGAAATCAAGAAGGACCTAGCTCCCTACTTACTCCAAGTTATTGTTGTTACCGAAAACGTGCATTTATTCAATTTATAAATTGATGTGCTTCTATGAAATTTGACAGACAGCAACCTAAACGTAGATAATTATGTTCTCAGTGGTTAAATACTTTTTTAAAAACTCGTTCTATTTCACGTAAATTCAGTTTTATGCATATCAACAGCAAAATCAATGACTGACATGACCATGGTCATGACTTTAAACAAACATAAGAAAAACGAACAATACATATCATTATATGTACGTATACGACCTTCACTTAAGTGAAGACACCTACATTTATGGAGATGGATATTGATCTAAGCCATGTAGGCGTATGAGGATATTTTTGTTTGGGTCCAACAAATAAACATAATTTGCGTTTGAAGACTGTGTGATATATTCCGACATTGATAATAGTGAAAGACTCCTCTCTTAAATTTCAACCAGTGTCAGGCCATATGTCTCACCCGACTCCATCCATTTTTTCACCCTTTTCTCTCTTAGGCATGCACCATTGTCTGCATATCTTTATCTTTTCTCTTGTAGTGGATCATGAAAAGAGTATCTGGATTGGTAGTCTGGTCGTGTTGAACTATCAAAAATTAAAACGAATGGAACAGAACTTATGTGCAAATGTATTAGGCATTCAATCAACCGCTATTTCCACCTTAACATAATTAATACATGACGACTAATCGTTAAAGTACAGGAAAGAGTCTATATGATTGTAATCTAAGACAATACAACTTAAACATTGAGCATATAGCAAGCTTTAAGACTGATTTACAACTGACCAGAAATAAGGAGATTCGTAACAAAACTACTAGCATTAAACTCGCTAAAGAGAACGATGTATATACTACTCGATAAAAAAAGTTTGCTTTAGAACAACACTGTCACCAATTCCAGGCCCAACACTAACCCTACAAACTCGTTGAAAAGTGAACACTCAATATACTTATCAGTTAAAAATTTGAAAAAGTAGGCTGCTTATTACTATTGTCAGCTCATACTTAAAGATGTCACATCAAAACTGGAGGAGTCATCATGTGAACCTAGAAAGAATAATTCAGTCTAATAAATCATCAGATAAGAATCTAGGACCCTAGTGCCAATCCATATCCATCACGCAATAGGTAGACGTTAGGTTTAAAATTTATATTTCTTAGTTGTAATTTAATATTCAAAGGCCTAATAATGCAATGGTGATAAAATGTTAGTCTGGAATAATGCGCAACGCATATTTTGGGGATTTCCCTTAAAATTATCTCGAACTTGGGTAGATGTTAAAGACTTGGCTAATGTCTAGTTGTGAATATTAATTCATGATGATGCAAAAGCCGCCAAAACAATAATACTCAGTCAACACCAAACGGTACTACACTACTAAAAACCTGAATCCCAATGTCCAACCGCTTGAACTACAGTAAAAAAATTTTTTCATTGATTACCTCTATGGTATTTACACCTTCAACGTTGAGATGCAGTAATGTTGGTGGAAGATTATTCACGAGGATAGTTGTTGCTCGCTCGCTCAAGGTGCTAAACCCTATATTAAGACATGTAAGTAAAGGACAAAGCTTAATAGCATCCGGAAGTACAGACTCCGCATGTTTAAGTGCCAGACATCGTAGAACTCGAAGCATCGGCCGACTGGAAATAGCTTTGATAATCAATTCGGCTGGTATCTGACGTCGTAATGCAAGACGGGTGCGAAGAATAGGAGTCAAAGACACATTATACCACAACTGACAGACAGCTGGAACATTGTGCAGTAAGTCGGATGCTGGAAGAAGCTTGAAAATCTCTAGAATCACATCAAACGGGAGTTTATGTATGGGAGGACTAGATCCTGGAACACATTTGCTCGCAGAAGGCAAAGAAAACGAAATCTTTGAGCAATCAGCTGAAGGGGCTTGAATAGTTTTATCGAGTGAGTTTGAAGGTCTGACACTATTTATTTCGAACTCATCTGATGAATCTTGAGTAATGGGTACTTGCTTCATGGGCCTAAATGATGCAAGTGGTAGCTCATCTAAATAAAAACAGAACGGAGGATCAAAATTCCTTCCTATAAAATTTTTTCTATCTATCAACGCATCACAAGAAGAATAGGAGCAACAAATTAAATACCGAATCTGACCTCAAGTTAATCAAGGTCAATGGAAGTAGCCTTGGGCTTGTAGGTCAAACGGTCATAACTTTGTTTCCGCTTCGGTCATGGCATTGACCTGAAGAACTTCCCCATTATATCCTCTCCTAAAAGCTCGTTTTGAAAACAGAAAAATAAAGTTGAAAAAATCCAGTATCTACCAACTGTGATTAGGAGAGAAATGTTTTTATTTTTTCGGATATTTTGGTTCCACTTTGTGTTTAGCTTTTGCTCTTGGTTTAGTAGTTTTTGCTTCGGGAACCTAAAAAATTGAAGGTTTGTTCTGCATTCGTTATAATTATAATTGGAACAATATTTGAGTCGATTATTTGTGATTTACAATTAAACATTGGTGCTTGAATTAGAGTTCGGTTCTATTGTTATTTGGTATCTTAAGTTACAAAACAGATCTATCTACTGTAGGGCCAGTGAAACGTCACTGAGCCCTAGCCAAATCATCCGGCAGTTGGAACACCGAATGTCGAACAGATCATTGCTCCCTGCCAAGGTCAAGTACAACCAACGCGCGTCAGTTAATCGTGTACCATGAACTGGCCCATGAGGCAGTGGTCTTACTTTCGCTTGTATCTACCTTAACTAATATATTTCTGTAATAACGTCCTCTGTATTGTACAGTCTTCAAAGCATCTATGGTACCTTGATACGTCAATGGGGTAGTCTACGTAAGGTGCTAACCATGAGATGTGACTTCGACGTTAGCTGGTTCGTCACACCATTCCCGTCTAATTCGAGTAGGTCTCCAATCATTTTCGACATAGATCATCTACGTTGGTGATCTACAGTATCATGCATCAATATCGGAAGACAGCATACACTTGGACGTAACACTAAAGCTATGCTGCTTTTCAGAAAGAATCTGGTTTGCGTCCGGGTACTTGAACAACTCCTTCCATTAAGAAGGAGTGCAAACGTAAGCATATTCGTAGTGAAATTCAGGGTTTTCTCTGTCAAACATACAAACTTCAGTTACACGGTCGCGAAGTTGAGTTACAGTTCATTCCCTACCCGTCTGTATACATATGGAAACAATTTTGACTACAGACTCAACTTAAGGAAAATTAATGAATGTACATGACACATGCATACATGCAATTCTTTTTGTAGCCGTAAATAAATCCCCAAAATAAATAGCTCTGTAAGTTCTCGACACTGGATGTTGACCACATTAGTTCTAATGGACTTACCTAGTTGAAGGCGCTCGGTCATGCATCCGCACCAGATCACGAGTGGGAACGCCGTGTTCATCAACCCCTGCAGTCGCTAGCCAGATTAGATCAGACGATTGATAGCAAATCAAATACATCTTCGAACCTACTCGCTTCTGTCTTCTGGTTTCACTTAGTGAGTATGAATAATATTAGGAGGTGTTACCGGTTAAAGCCTTGTCAAACTCCGAATACCTGTGGTGTCTTCAACTCGTTCAATGGTATGTTGACTACAATATACACGAACGTTGTTGGTGATTTGTAGAATTTTAAACGTTGGACTTGGAGCGCCAATGATGACCATGGGGTTAGAATTTGTGAGGCAGTCACCTGGAATTCCAATAAAATACTAGGGATATAGAGAGACTATAAAGTACTGAGGTTATTGGGCATAGACCGACAATGGCTTGAGAAAACAGAAGTTCAATAAATAACGAGATATTCCGTTTAAAAATGTCATTGTATGGTGAGTGATAAACTATAGTTAACAGTTGTTTTAAAGACTGAAATGTCACTAAAATAAATTCGGAGTTGTGTGACTTGTCTGTTAACAATTCGATACAATTATGCTTCTTTTACTGAAATTGATGTGCAATGCGTCCCTTCTACTGAGACAAGTTTAGGCTTCGTTTGTTGTAAACTCACACATGAACGTCAGTTGTGGGCTCAGTACAGATTCCGTATATTCCATTTGTTACTCACAATTCTTTATCTGCTGCAAAGTTCCTCAACCGTTAGGTTGGATTTGAATGTACGTATTTTGGACAGCTTTATGTATATCAACTGTCGGTGGTCAGTTGTTTGCTTCTATATATCTGGCAATGCTTGCCCTCCATAGCCCTCCTATGAGAACTTCCTATCTCCATAAACATGTCCCACAAATAGCATGCTATTTTCACATAAAGAAAAACAGACTAACTTCGTTTCCAATTTCTTCAATACCTGCCCGGGCATCTGATACAACATTCCTTCAGGTTCCTGACCGTCCTTAACTTTGCAAAAACATCACTTAATATCTCACAACATGACGACTGACTCTCATTAAGCTGACAATGCTAATTTTGATAAAAACGTCACAAAATTTATTTGTAGTCGATCAGCTGTTGCGAAGATTAGAAGTTACAGTTAGTGTTAGTCATCAATAGATAACCAATCTTCCGTAAAACGACATATCTCTTCATCCTCATTCCCCTTTCTCGATCTCGTCGGTAAAAATTGTGTCACAAAGTAGAGCCCAAGTTGTCTGACGTGTCTACTTGTATTGGTATAGGTTCCTAACCACACGGTCTTCGAAGCTTAGCGTATAATTGCTGAGCAGAATTACTTTCAACATGTAATACTAAAAGCAGGTCAACAATGGTGGACACGAGAGGACAATATCACATACTATGGATTGTTCTATGCAGTGGTATTTGCACTCTCTTCCTTGTGCTTACTCTTGCCAATATATTCCTATAATAACGTCCTTTGTGTTATATGGTCTTCAAAGCAGTCATAGTACCTTGGTATGACGGAAGGGTAATCCAAGGTAGATTCTCACCGCAAAGTGTGGCTTTGGAGTTATCTTATTCGTCGTACTATTCCCGTCTAACTCCAGTAGGCCCCCAATCATTCGACAAGGATCATCTGTGTGATCTACATTGGTGAGACCGACCAAAGTAACTCAGCATGTTATTTATCTTAACTTCATTTTTGGTTTATCGATAGATTCTTACTTATGTTAAAAATGAACTATTCCCTAGTATCTATTCTTTCGACCACTGCCTGTCTAATTTTCACTTTTTCAGTCCTATTGCCAAAAAATGAAGACGATATTCCGGAAACTTACCGTGAGTTTAGGCTATAAAGTTTATGCGCTCTTAATTTCATTTCAGACTGTTCATACAGTGATATCCATATATTTATCTTAACTCCCGGATTTGTACTGAATAGACCAAGTGACAAAAAGTCAACAGTTTCACACATCATGGGGTTCTATTTGATAAATCCACTAGGTTATCTAAATTCCGAAAAGAATCCAGGCCAGTCTTACTATGTTTCTGGTACTTCTTAACATTTATATTTACTAAGACTAGCTGTAAATATTTGATATAAAACACTCCTAAAGCTGTTTTCGGGATAAGACATATTTAATAGCTTGGAATAACAACATACTGCCATGAGAAAGTGTGTTGTTTTCAGGAGAACCTGTAGTGGCATTGGGCCCTAACTACACAATCCTCAAAGGTGAAAATGAGGCAATTGGGGAAATAGATATTCAGCATTTAACGCGGAGAAAAACCCAACAGTGAAGAAGGCAGTAACAATGAACTGAATTAATTCGCGTTGATCGGATGGCATGGCTCAACCATGTAGGCGTGGTCCCTGTTGAACGTTACCTTATATCTTTTACTTGTATTAAATATATTGTTCTGTTTCCAGTCTGAATGTGTTCTCCATCATATATTGGTAGTTGTCACGAAACGATGAGTCAGTGTAGTCAGTGATGTAACTTCCACGTAAGATCTTATAGATAAGGCAGTGACATCATGACAAATCTACCATTTTAAAATAAGGTCTATTATTAGAACAGTACTAATATCATAGTAGACCAAAATTCTACAAACCCCACCAGATTGAACGTTAATTTTGCACTTCCTAGTTCCGATTATCAATACTACATATCCATGAGAGCCATTTGGCTAATTACAGTAATTATTTATGAGAATTATATATTATACCTGTCATATACTTAACATATATTTCCATATGTCACCCTTCAACTTTTAACTTTTTCCTGTCAAGTCCTTTTTAACTGTTGTATTCCTCATAAGCGTACATATTGACCTGACCTGTACATGCGTTGCATCATATCATTTCTACGCCATTTGAATCCAACAATTATTTAAACCGCATTTACAATTTTCCACCAAACTCATAGCGGTCATCGTTGTTATGTATATTTGGATTTGTAAATCAAGCTATTATATTAATTTCATAGAAAGGCGTTTAACACAGCTATGATAACAAAGTCACCGGATTAATATATCGTCCTGCATTGGTACAATGACTAAACTATCATGTGATTGTTGGTCACATGAGCATTTAAAATAAGTCTCCGGAACCCACTACTACTAAAATTAGCACTAAGTGAATAATAAAATATTTTATTCTCAAATAACTGTATGTTACACAAGGCATGCCAGTTCAAACAAAATCAAGTTGTTACAGAAGATACAGTTTTCACTGTAGTAAGTTATTCAGGTTGATTTTTTATAAGGCACATTGGTTATAGAGTTACGGGGAATAACACTTCTCACATGCGAATGTAGATAACATTAGTAAAAGTCGTATTGTCAATCGGTACATTTCCAACAGTCGCATCGGGTTTGTTTCACGTTTTAATATTCATGTTGTTTCATATTGATAATAACTCTAAAGCTGTCAGAAAATCAGCCGTTTGTATTAAATATTTTTGTTGATAACAAATTTTTAGCCTTTGCCCAAGATGAACACTCAGAGGATGTGCTTGCTTATTCATATAAGAAACTAAACAATCCAATGACACCATAACCCGATATTTTGTTTACTCTTAAGAATAAATAGATCACTACCAGGAGTTATATAGAAAAATGTCAGATGGAGCTACTAGACATTTTGGTTCCGGAAGTGGGCAAATCATTCATTCCCAGTAATAGTTGGTGACTTTTGGAAATTAAGAACAATATGACATTTGATGGTCAGTATGTAGCGAATAAAGTTGTCTCCTGTTGCTTTCTTGATGAAGTTCTGGAAATGTGTAGAATCCGGTCGACA